ATAGTTTTTCACAGACACTAGAATCGGAAACCAAGAACAAAAGCAGTCATACACGAGCAGTCACACCAAAAACAAAGCGAATTAAGAGCGAGCTAGCAGGCGAGAAGCAAGCAGCGGGCAGATGAAGTGATGAAGCTGCAGCCTCTTCAGCCGACTAACCGAAAACTGATCCAAAGGCAAGGGAGGCGGGGCCAGGTCCAGAAGGTGGAGTCGAGGGAGCGGTTGACCAATGGGCGAGTGGGCAGGACGTCCTGTAGGCATCCTCCTGAACTTACGGCACGTACCCGAAACTTACGGCACGTATCTCCCTTACGGCACGTACTTTCCTTATGGCACGTAACACATGTTCAGAGCATGACCGTGTGTTGCATACGTTAGTAAACACCCCTAGCGCATCTTGCAATCTTAACATTGATCCTGGTGGCGACTATTCATATTGACGCGGTAGCAGACCGTAATGGTCATAGAAGTGTTATGAAGGCAGTACTCCCCAATTATGGAGGGGTAATTCGCACTCTGCTTGTAAGGATGCCGATCACAGTCTCTCTTGTATCCTCTTTGTCTTTTTCATGAAGGCCCATTAGTCTAATATTCCATTTTCTTTTATACCTGGCTTGCTCCAAGCACAGTTGCTTTAGTGACGCATTCTCTTTTTTCAGCAGCAATATTTCTTCCTTCACTTTGCATATTTCTTCTTTATTTTCTCTCACTGCTTGTGTATTATACCTTCAAATGCTTTCAATCTGTCATTTTGTTCATCAAAACTCTTTATCAAAAGTTGAATTGCATTTAGGATGTTTTCATTTGTAATCTCACCCAGCTTGCTCCTCTCATCTTCCTGCTTCGGTTTCATTTTTTTGGGGTTTGGGCTGGGGAGTGGTGAGTGAATATGAAGCAATTTCCTATTTTCTTCCTCCATTGCCTCTATTTCTTCAATTGCTTCTTCCTCACATGCTTCTCGCAGGGCCATCAGGTTATAATCGTGGTCTGCTAGCGTTTGAGCCTTAAGCCCTTTTCAGATCGAACGCGGCATGCACTGCGCTCACCGTGGGGTTTGCGCTTTCTCTCAAAAAAAACAGCGAGTGCGCTCAACGCACCGCGCTTGCCGCGGGGTTCAGCTCAAAAAGTAGGCGTGGCTTTCTAAACTTTCTTGTTTTGTTGTTGTCGCGGCTCGCGGTCAGTCACGACAATGTATAAAAGAAAAGCACTAGCACTAGCTCTGTTAGCACCAAGAAAGAAGAGGCTGTGGGTGCATGAGACCCTCGTACCCAGAGAGCAGCTTGGAGAATTCAGGCTGGTAAAGGAGCTCCGTTGTCACAGCGACCGGCTCCAGGTGTACTTTCGACTCAGCATGGAGCAGTTCAACAGCCTGCTAAGTAGAGTGGGACCTAGCATCACTAAGATGCGGACAAATTACCGAGAGCCGATTCCTCCAACGCAGCGTCTGGCAATTTGCATGAGGTTGGCATTTTAATTGAAAATAAAACTTTATTTCAGTACAGTATCTAATTGAATTGAATTAATAATGTTTTGAATTAAACTGCCGGCATTCAAATTTCCTGCCAAAATACTCTGTCCACTTTATTGTGCATGGGTATGCTATATATGATAGCATAAAGTGATCTAAATGTAGTAATGGTTTTCACTAACAGTTAACTACATACAAGCCTTTAGCTTGCAATAATAAATATAGCTCCTGTGGCTTACAAAGTACAGCAGTGGGCTAACACAAAGGTTGCGGGTTTTAATCCCAGGAAGCACACATTAAAACGTAAAAATAGTAAATCTCTGCTGTAAGTCACTTTGGATAAAAGCCTCAGCTAAATTACATGTAATAATAAATGTATAATGGTGAAAAAAAGCTCCATGCAATTTAAAAAATCGTTTGGATGCATATCTAAATTATATGACGTCATTAATTTCAGATACCTTGCAACTGGAGACTCCTACTGTACACCACCATTGCCTCCAGTTACCGGGTGGGCATCTCCACTGTGGCAGAGATTGTGCCAGATGTGTCCAAAGCCATTTGGGACAGCCTGGTACATGAATATCTGCCAGTACCATCTGCTTCTGATTGGCAGGAGATTGCTCTTGGCTTCAAGGAGAGGTGGAACTTCCCCAATTGTGTGGGGGCAATGGATGGGAAGCATGTGGTAGTCCAAGCACCACATAATTCTGGTTCCCAGTATTTTAATTACAAGGGAACATACTCCATTGTACTTCTGGCGGTTGTGGATGCAAGGTATCTTTTTAGGGTGGTGGATGTTGGAGCTTTTGGTCGGAGCAGTGATGGAGGGACCCTTGCTGCCTCCACCTTTGGAGAAGCCCTGCGTGAAGGGAGGCTGGATTTGCCTGAGGATTCTCCTCTCCCAGGTGCTGACCACCTAGGACCCATGCCCCATGTTTTTGTGGGAGATGAGGCTTTTCCCCTCAGGTAATTGTTGGTCATGACCTGTACTCATGCACTTTCTTGATGGTGTATATTGTTGAATTTTAATCTGTCCTTCTTATTCTCATTTTATTACAAGGAGGAATGTTTTGAGGCCCTATCCTAGAAGAAACCTCTCCCAGCCAAAGAGGATTTTCAACTACCGCCTCTCACGTGCCAGGAGAGTTGTTGAAAATGCCTTTGGCATTCTTGCTGCACAGTGGAGGATCTACCACTGGGTAATTGGAGTGTGCCCTGTAAATGTGGATGCCATTGTCAAAGCAACAGTGGCCCTTCACAACTTCCAGAGGTGGAATTGTCTACCAGAAGCTCCCATCTCACAAGAAGAAGCGAAGATCCCTTCACTTCAACCTGTGAGAAGAGTGGGAGCCAACAACTCCACCCAAGAGGCCATAGCTGTACGGGAGGTCTTCAAAAGCTACTTCTCCTCAGCCAATGGAGGGGCGCCCTGGCAGTACACTACAGTCTGACATGCAACCCCCACTTGCTGCTGCTGCTCATCCTCTTCACAATAAAACAAAGGCTCTTTTAAGAGCCACTTACTTAGTCATATAAAGGGCTGGTCAAGAAGACTATCTTTTGCATTCATAGTTAAAGGAAGTTAAACTAAGTTGGTAAAAGTCACTTCACAAGAAGAATGCAGCAGGAATTGTCTGCTGCATTACTTTTTAATAATATTATTAATAACAATAGTAGTAATAATAATTTTGTTGCTGATGCACATTACATCTTAATAATCAAAATTTATTTTAAAAATAATTAACTCATTTCTTTCAACAATTAACATGAACATCAATCATGAACATGAATAAATAACAATAACAATGATAAACACTCAAGAACAAATTTACTTTAGGAACTCACTTTGAAAACTCTGCCCTGTGTAAACTTGTCATGAACTGTAGTTTAACCTCACTTCTCCTTTCTGGTGGCAGGTTTCTTAAACGTGGGGCTAGGCTTAGAAGAAATAGCTCTTCCTCATCTGTTGGCTGTTCGAGCACTTTCAAAATTTTGTTCTCAAACTCTTCTCTCTGCCTTTTCATTCCCTGTCTTGACCCCTGTCTAGTGGAGGGTGCTGGGGAAGTCCTTGAGGTGCAGGTGGATGGGCCAGGCTCCTGAGACACAGCAGGGGCCAGAAATAAAGGCTCAGGTGCCAACTCGGCCAGAGGTGGAGGTAGTCTGGGTGGTGGGAATTACTTCAGTCAAGTAAAGACTGAAAGTTTCATCAGAAGGGGTGCCAGATGAGGATGCTGGCAAAGGAACTGAGGTAGCCTGGGGACTGGAGGGTCGATTTTGTGAGGATGGGGACATATTGGAGGAGGTGGCCCTCTCCCTGACATAAGGCTCCAGGAAGCTCATGATTGGAAAGTACTTCCAGATTATTTTCTGCTCTGCCCCTGCACTACTCTTTTTTTCTCTCACTTTCCTCCTCTCCTTTATATACCTGTCCCTGAGATTTTTCCAGGTCTTTTTACATTCGTCCTCTATTAAAGTGGAGAAAATATGTCAAGTTTAAAGATAAAATATGTCTTAAAACAGGGCTGGCCAATCTTATCCGCAAATTGCCGGTGTGTATGCAAGTTTTTGGGATAGCTGTTCAAACCCAGGTGTGAGGACTCTTCAGCCAATCAGTCCTCTAATTAGTAATCTAATTAGGGAGTTGCAACGAAAACCCGCATACACACCGCCCCTTTGCGGGTAAGATTGGCCACCCCAGTTTTAAGACATCCCAACCTGCAAAGGGTCAGGGAGGTATCCTGAAGCCCTATACCTATGAAAACCATACCTCATTATTTCAATTAATAAACCTAAAATAGCCTGTAGCTATCACATGGTATTTCAGTCATACATACTGCCAACAATAAGCAAGAAAACACACCTGGCATACCGATATCAAGAGAAATCTTTCTCCAACATATCGTCTTCCTCCCAATGTCCCGGTAAGACGATAATGTCACGTTATACATTTCTGGATATTCAGAGACTGACAAGATGAGTTTTTCCTCCATACCCGCTTTGTGTGTGGGTGTGTTTCGAAGGGGCAGACCGAACACTAGCCCGCTTCGATGCTTTGATTCTATTGGTCGCGCGAAAATGCGTTCAACAAATTTCAACTTTGACCGTGGTGCTCGGCGCAGCGCAAAACCGCTCTTGCGCTGCGCAAGCCATAGAAAATAATAGGTTTCAGAGCAAAGCGCAGCGCATGCCGCGTTCGGTCTGAAACCCGCTTTAGCCATTTTGCTGGCTTTAGTCATCTTGTTCACAATGTAGAAAAGCAAAAAAACAACCAGTAAAGGTGTTCAGCCTCGAAAAAAAAAACTGTGGGGCTCAGGAGTTGTTTGTGCAATTCTTTCATGCAGTTGTTGTGTTTTTTTAATCATAAGGTTAAATGTTCAGGACAATTTAAACTTAAAAACAGAGCCTGCAAAAAGCGCTACCGCTCACTCCGCCATCTTGACTCCTCCCTCGGAAGTTCTATTTGTTAATGCAGACCGAGAAATTAAAATCCCGCAGTAACTTTTTTCTCGTGTGTCATAAAACATTAGACATGCTCAGAACAAATCGGGCAGCGTCGTGAAACGAATTTTAATTAAGCAGAGAGCGCATGTGCGACACAAATCAGATGGAGACTTGTGTCGTGTAGCAGAAAAACGCAAATCGGGCAAGGTCGTAATATTAAAGTTCTGCTCATGCATGTGCATGCGCACGCGGCTTGGGTTGTCTTGCTGCGCATGCACGAGCAAATCGCGTAGGCACCGCAGATCGGGTGTGGCTGCCCGATCTGTGGTCGCATGCGCACACTGGTTTTCCGTGTACGTCACTATTTGATCTGTATACTGACTGCCTGGCTGTGGCTGTCCGATCTGCGTACGCATGCGCGACACCAGCTACCCAGCATGGCCGTGACATTTTGGTTACAGCAGGAAAAATGCGCTGTGAATTGTTTGTCCAAAATATTACGAAGTATCTCTTGGGTAGAGAAGTAGACAGTAATCTCTCACCTAGGGACATGAGCGAACTGTGCCATGTATCCCTAAATTATACGATCAAAGGTATGTTCATTTATATCTGCTTGTTTCACATGGTAAAATGTCTTTTCCCATCTTTATGGCCAGGGCGAAAACCACACTGCTACTTCTGAATCCAAAGTTCGACAATCCGATGGACCGTTCTCTCCAGAACCCCCGAATAGACCTTACCAGGGAGGTAAGTGTGTTGAATTTCCCCTATAGTTGGAGTACACCCTCTGGTCCCCCTTCATAAGTCCCGAGTTGTGGTCAGCAGCGCCCCCATCCCCACCATAAACAGTATTGATGTTGCACCGCTTTCCCACCCTGAGACGCTGGATGGTGGACCAGAATCTCCTCGAAGCCGTCCGGAAGTAGTTTTCCATGGTCTTGCCAAACTCCTCCCACACCCGAGTTTTTGCCTCGGCGACCGCCAAAGCCGCATTCCGCGTGGTCCACTGGTACCTCTCAGCTGCCTCTGGAGTTCCACAGGCCAAAAAGGCCCAATAGGACTCCTTCTTCAGCTTGATGGCATCCCTCACCACCGGTGTCCACCAGCGGGTACAGGGATTGCCAGCGCGACAGGCACCGACCACCTTACGGCCACAGCTCCGGTCAGCCGCCTCCACAATGGAGGCACAGAACAAGGCCCATTCGGACTCAATGTCCCCTGCTTCCCCCAGGACATGGGAGAAGCTCTGCCAGAGGTAGGAGTTGAAGCTCCTCCTGACAAGGGATTCTGCCAGATGTTCCCAGCAGACCCTCACTATATGCTTGGGCCTGCCAGGCCTGACCTGCTTCCTCCCCCACCAGTGGAGCCAACCCAGTAGAACAAGAGAGTCCCCTGGGGCAGTGCTCTCCAACACCCCTTCCAAGGACTCCAAAAAAGGGTGGGTATTATGAACTGCCACTCAGCGCATAAGGGCAAACAACACTCAGGCCCATCACCTCACCGGAAGGCGAAGGTAGGCTACCCTCTCATCTACCACAATGTGCAGACACCAAACCAGGGGACAATAAGTATGCCCAACACTGCCCGGCGCCTCTGCCCGCAAGCAACTACAGAATGGAAGAGGGTCCAATCCCCCTCAAGGAGACTGGTTCCAGAGCCCAAGCTGTGCATCGAGGTGAGCCCGACGATATCAAGTCGGAACTTCACCACGTCGTGCTCCAGCTCAGGCTCCTTCCCCGTCAGAGAGGTGACATTCCATGTCCCTAGAGCTAGCTTCTGGAGCCGAGGATCGGAGCGCCAAGATTCCCGCCTTTGGCCACTGCCCATCTCGCACTGCACCCGACCTCTATGGGCCCTCCTACAGGTGATGAGCCCATTGGAGGGGGCACCTACGTGCCTTCTTCGGGCTGTACCTGACCAGGTCCAATGGGAGCAGGCCTGGCCACCAGGTGCTCGCCATCGAGCCCCACCCCCAGGCCTGGCTCCAGGGGGGGTGCTCGGTGACCCGCGTCCTCAGGGGTCTTGTGAGCCGCACTTCGTCTGGTTTCTCACCTATAGGACCTGTTTGCCTTGGGTGACCATACCAAGGGCATGAAGCCCCGGGCAACTTAGCTCCTGGGATCATTAGAACACGCAAACCCCTCCACCACGATAAGGTGTCGGCTCCAGGAGAGGCATATGTAGGACCCTCTGGATAAGGTGAAAGTAAGAAAAAGCTTACAGCACTTGGTATTTCCAGGCAGTCTCCCAACCAATTACTAACCAAACCTGGCCCCGCTTAGCTTCTGAGATCAGACGAGATCGGTCGCCGCCGGAACGGTATGGCCGTAAGCGAGGGAAACGGCCAGAATCAGCCCTTTCGTAGTTGAAGCGTATCCACCCTGCAGCCCCACCTTCCAATCAGGTGTCCCGCCCCCAGCACGGCCGCCCAACACTTTTCAGATTCCTCGGCCGGCAGCCTCCAGCAACTAATTTCATCTTGCCAGATGGGCAGACTTTCTTCTCCTTACTACTTTGCGGTACCGGGTAGATTAATGTTTGCATGTGCCTGCCGGCAAACATTGCCCCTTTACCTGCCGAATGTTGCCTAATTTTAACGCTGCAATTGAAAGCTATCAAATAAGTACTAATACTATTACTAATAACTGCCCGAGTCACACCAGGAACACACAAGCCCTCAGTCCAGCCTCTCTCAGCCTATTGCGGACAGTCTGAGCACTGATGGAGGGCTTGTGTGTTCCTGGTGTGACTCGGGCAGTTGTTG